AGATGACCAGGCTGAGTGCCCAAGGGAGGAATCAGACACGTCATCAGTCTTGCATCCCTTGGTGCCCACAAAACATCTAAGTCCAGCCCATCTTGAATTCCATTGACTCTTATCTACCGCCAATTTGCTTTGACCATCACATTCTTGTAAAGAGCTTTCGGAGAGCAATACAAAAGCCCTGTCAAGCTTTAGAAGAGATATATAAAAACCTTGTCAAGCACAGAAAGTCAGGAGTCCAGGCAGTTCAAATGAATATATAGATTTATATATTCTATATATTCATTTGAACAGCCTGGGCTCCTGACTTTCTGTGCTTGACAGGTTTTTTTGTATATCTCTCCTTTCCTTGGGAGCCGTGGTGGTGCAGTGGTTAGAATGCTGTATTGCAGGCTACTTCTGCTGACTGCAGTTTGGCAGTTCGATCCTGACTGGCTCAAGGTTGACTCAGGCTTCCATCCTTGTGAGGTCAATACAATGAGGACTCAGATTGTTGGGGGAAATATGCTGACACTGTAAACTGCTTAGAGATGGCTGTTAAAGCACTGTGAAGTGGTATATAAGTGCTATTGCACTACAAGAGGAACGGTAGTACAGATGTTGAAGTAATCGACCAGAACAGAGTTTCTCAACTTTGGCTGCTGTGTGGACTTCAACTCCTAGAACTTCCCAGCCAGCATGATGAGTGATGAATTCTGGGAGTTGAAGTCCACACATCTTCAAGCTGCCAAAGTTGAGAAATAGCATGCTCTAGTCCACTTTCACCTATGAAAACACACCTTAGGCCACTCACTTTCTCTCAGCCCAACCTACCCCACAGGTTTGTGGTTATAGGAAAATCCCCACATGCATTGTCTTGGGCCCCTAGCAAAAAGGCAGAACAAAAATCCAAAGAATAATGCTATTGTAATAAGTTGGTGTTATTTTTTTCAAATGCAAAATTCACAATAAATGACGCGGATGTACCACATGCAGTAGTCAACTCACTGCTCCATCTTGTCGACATTTTATCTAATAATCAGGACTCTCCTTGAGCTCAGGGTTTTTTTCCCAGCCATTGAACTCAAGAACCATTTAAATGGAACTGATGCTTCTTAAGTTGGGGCTTTCCGTGCTCAAACCAAATTGTGGAAACTTAGATTAGCTGCTTGAAACAGTTGGAGGATACAACATTTCAGAGCCATGTTTTGCCAGTTGCAGCTATTTAAGATATTAGTTCCTGGAGATATCACAGATTGGACCTGGAATTCCTGCAGATTAAAAAAAAAAGTGTTCTACCTACTGAACAAAACTCCTCTCTGTCAAAAAAATTACTTTAACCCTGCAAAAAGAGCTATAAAATCTAGATACAGGCAGGTGATCTAGCAACCAACTAAACACTACTGTATTAACCCCTTCCGTCAGACATGTATTTATTTAAAAGATTTATATGGCCATCCATCTTGTAAAACAAAACTCTGGGCTCTTCACAATAATAATAAAATCAAAAACAAGAAAACCAGACCCTGACCTACCATCTCCAATCTATGCAATCCTCAGGTTCCAACTGTAGCCAACACAATGCCTAGGGCAGTGATGGCTGACCTTTTTTGTTGTCGCATACCGAAAGTGTGCGCGTGTGCCATAGGTTCGCCATCATGCACCTGGGGGGAAGACCTGGCTCTTTATGGCTTTCCGGAAGCTAAAAGTGTGTCTCTGGGTCTACCGGATTCCAGAGGGAAGGATATTATTCAGTTGGTCTACGCCAAAATGGCCACTGATTTCCCCAACCTGATTCTTGCCAGAAGTGCTGGACTTCTAGTACCCATCACCTTGGTCAGCATGGGAATCCAAATTCAACATAACTTAAAAGGCCCGAGTTAGGAAAAAGTGGGTTCTACCATCTGGAATTCTCAGACAGCAATTTTGCACAAACCTAAGGCATAGTTCAGATGCACATCTTGCCTCTTTCAAGGCAAACTCATAAATGCACCTAAATATCTAGAGACTCACTTCCAAGAGAGAATTCAGGTAGTCCTTGACTTACAACTGTTTACTTGTTTAATGATTGACGTTACAATGGCACTGACAAAAAGTGACCTACGACCAGTTCTCACACAACCACTGCAGCATCTCCAGGGTCATGTGATCAACTTTCACGTGCTTGTCAATAATTTTGGCATGTATTTTACAGGGTTGCAGCAAATAGCAGTGGTAATTCTGCTCTCTGCAATCTTCCCAGCCAGTTTCTGACAAGCAAGTCAATGAGGGAAGCCAGATTTGCTTAATGACTGTATGATTCACTTGTCTGCAGTGTTTTTGTTTAACAGAGAAAAACAGGTCGTAAAACTGGGCACGACTCACCTAAGAACTGCCTTGCTTAACGACAGAAATTCTGGTCCTAACTGTGGTTTTAAGTTAAGGACACAGAATCTTGGAATTCACCAAAGCAAACTCTCGGATTCAGCCTTCCTATCCACATTACATGAACAAAGATGAGTGGCCTGCCTTATGGGAATTTTCTAAAGGGAAATATTTTTAAAAACCTTCTGAAAATACTGTGTTTCTACCTCACACATACCCTTATTGATTAGCGTAGCTACTAGAGCTGTGCAGGAGAAATAATTCAGAAAAGATGTTTGATCAGAGCATGCAGGAATACAAGCATAGCACCTATCTGTAGCTATTTAAAGCAGTAAGATTTTTTTTGCCCTAGAATCTCACCCTCTGCAGTTATTCCATGGTTCGGGAAAAAGACATGGTTGCTTTAAAGAGAAGCAGAGATGGGTTTCATTTCTCTGTGTTTTCCATTGCACCTCTGTACAACTGAATATGATGTATTGCACAGTCTTACTAGATGCTATGCAATCTCCCTCTCTCCCTCCTTCCCCCCCCCTTTTTTTTTGCCTCAGAAGGCTGGCCGATTTTGCTTTCCTTAAAAGCTCCTGTTCTACCATTATCTGGGATGCAAAAATCCAGATGTCCATTGGACATGAGAAATGAGAAACAGAAAATTCTTTATACTGCTATCAAGTGGTCATCCAACTTTCTACAGCCCAGATATGATGGGTTTACCTTATTAGACCCCACGTTTTCGATATGTTTCCAGAGCCCCTACCCAGCTGCTGCCATCACAATTGCCAACTTTCTTTTTTGCTGCTGTTCTGGTGGTTTTAAACTGCACCTCAACAAGAAGGAATTAATTAGCTGAAGCTTGTTCAAGGAGAGGAAACAGTGGGGAAAAAAGGCATTCCCTGACCAAATGTCTTCTGGCCAAACAGCTGTTAAACCAAAGGGGAAGGGCCAGGAAAGGGGCAAAAAGAGATCTGCAGGCCTCTCAGCAAATTATCCAAGGACTTTATTAATCATATTTATGTAGTAGCACTAGGGCATCTGCCTAGTATAAACAGATACCTTCTTCTGTAAAGGTATCATAAAAAGAGAATCTTCTGTGCCATAGATCTTAGACTTTGTGAATGCCCACCCCAAAAAAATAAAATAAATACTGTAGTCCAAAATGGTGAGCTCTCCCATATCTTGAGGCAGCTTGTTCCCAACAGGTATCTTCAGATTTTTTTATGTCAATGTTCCTAATTCACAGGTAGCACAGCTCAGATCTTTGAGCCATAGGTGGGCATAAGAACAGAAGTCTGTGGCCTGGAAAAACCCTTAACATATCCCATATGGCTCCAGTGACGAGGAGCAGCCTTGTTGTATCTGGTGGCCTTGAGTTCCATATTTCCTCTTAACCAGAACTGGGATATTGCAGAGACTTCCATCTATGCCTGCCTGCCTGCATAGTCCAAAATCAGGGAATGGGAAGCCCTCTGTAAGATTGGGGGGGGGGGAGCTCTGCAATACCAGCCTCTGGACTGTAGAAACCCCTCCCCTGTAAATAACTTTGATATGCACGTTTTAATCCTTCTCCACTGAGGTCTGCTTCAGCAGCCTCCCCCCCTCTTGAGTAGCCCCCACGTATTTCATAACCTCCTCAGCTCCAGCAAGCAAACATCAGCGCTGAGGAAAACTGAGGTCAACACCACCCCCCTCCCGAGGTATTCAGCGTCCTCATTCCAGCGCATACAAGCAGAGACACGGCGGTTCCATTTCTCGAGGGAGGGGGGGGGGGCTAAACTTCACTTGTCACGGTCTTCCTCCTCCCCCGATCGCGGGAAGATTTGGGGAGGGGGGGGGGAAACAACAGAAGGGGTCTGTCGAAGACAGGAAGAGACACACCAGCCGCCCACGTGTGCCTGGAGCAAACAACTGAGCGATGCAAGGAGGAAGCTGGGGGCGGGAGGGGGAGCGACGGAGGCGAAGCTGCACTCAGATGCACCCCACTCCCCACCCCGGGTGTGTGTATGTCGGGGGGGGGGGGTACGCTTGGTGTCCAGGCAAAGGCCGCCCGCCGGATGCGTTCAATCCCCGCGTCCTCTTCTTGCCTCACGTCGGGCGAGAGCGCAACGTACCCCGGGGCTGTCCAACCTCTCTCTCTCTCTCTCTCTCCCAGGATGAAGGCTGCGTGTGCGGGGTCGGGGGGGTGGAGAGAGAAGGACGCCTCCGATCTCCCCCTTCTCCGCCTCTAACCAGGGGCAACTCTTCCGTTCTCGGGCGACCCCCCTCCCGCCCTTCCCCAAATTCCAAAAGACCCTCCCGTAACTTTCCCACCCCCCCCACCCACCCCCGACGGGGCTCGCCGGGAGAGCCGAGCCGCTGCCCCCCCCGTCACCTCCACCCCCCCCTGGTCAGTCTCCCTCGCGCCAAGGGGAGCCCGCCGGCGCCCAATCCGAGGGAGGGAAGGAGGGAGAGGGCGCGCTTTTCAGGGGAGGGGTCGCGGCTTGGAGCGGCGCGCGCGCGGCCAACTCCGGCTTCAAAGTTTAAAGCAGGGAAGCGCGGAGTTGCCTGGAAGCGGGGAGGGGGGGGAGGCCGGAGGGGTGGGGTCCCGAGGCGTCCCCGTCGCCCTCATCCCCGGGGAGAAAGAGGCGGCGGGGTGGGGAGAGGCGTCCGGGAAGCGGAGCACTTACTTCTCGCGCGCTTGTCCGTCGGAGGGCACGCTGGAGCCCTTGCCCTTGGCGTACATGGCTCGGGGGGGAAGCCCCCGCCGCGGCACCTGCCGTTAGAGGAGCTGGAGGAGCTGGAAGCGGTCTGGGGATCGGGGCCGCCGCCCGCAGCAGCGCTGGAGCCCCATCGCGCCGCCGTCGAGCGCCCCCCGAGCTAGACTGAGCGAGGAGCCCGCGGACGCCACCCCAACTGAGGGAGGCTGGGCGCCGCGCCGATGGCTCCGGGCTGCCTCCAAAGAGCGAAGACAGCTCCGGCGGACCCTCCCCTCCCCGCGATCTCCCCTCCCCTCCTCGGCTTTTCGCGGTGGCTGTTCCAAGAAAGGGGCCTCCTCCCCCTCCCTGTCTCCATCGCCTGGGCTCTTAAAAGGGCGATGCCGTTTCCATTCTGGAGGAAGGCGAGAAGAAGAAGCGGGGGGGGGGGGGGGGCGGGAATCGCTCAAGCCTTAGCCGCTGGTTCGCGCTTTTTTCTAGGTCTCCCGGGTTAGAGCTCGGTGATTTATGCGAGCGGGCTGAGTTCCCGCTCCACGATTAGCCAAGTCAGATGGAGAGACCTGGCGGCTGCGTTTGTGAAATCGACCGGGCTTGGATAGGGCTAACTTCGGGGGGTTAGGGGGGAGGTGAGGAAAGCTATGTGAACCCTGTCCCGTCGTTTAATTTATGGCTTAGTATATTGTTAATGGGTTAAGTTCGGTATTGGAGTTAGCTCTATGAACAATTGCAAAAGTAGCGGGGGGGGGCATTTTTGAGCTTGAAACTAAGATATGATCTTGGATGCTGCTGGTCATTGCCCTGCCTTGCAAGACTGTTGTAAAATAAAAACAGAAACGTTATTGGAAAAAGAATAAATGCAACAGTAATAATAATGTAATCGTCTACAATATTGCACAGGGAGAATCCCATCTAATATCTTCGATAAATAAACGTAGTTATTTTAAAAGGGATCAGAACCCAAGTTTTATTGTTTCCAGCTCCACAGAATGTTGGGGGGAAAAATGATGTGAAGGGGCTCAGGTCTTTTGCCAGTTCGTCTTTCAACAGATAACTGAAAAAGCAGAAGGAACCAGAAGATGGCCTTACACCAGAGCAACCATCTGAGAGGCTGCCCCTTACTAAGGCAGACTGTAGTCAGGCTAAGGTGCTCAACCCCTAACAGGAGTTTCCAATCCTGTGCTCTCCTGTGCACATTAGTTGTCTTGAGAGCTGGAGACCAGCTGTGAAATCAACACTCCCATTGCACCATTTAATTCATCCATGGGGTGCCGCACCTCCCTGCCCAGTTTTGTTATCAGAGAGGAGACTGCACATCTCAGTTCTCCTCCTCGTTCAGGCCCAGCAATCTTACTCTTCTGGAAGAAGACACACAGTTATCACCAGAAGGCTGATATCCCCCACTGATGCATAAACCAAAAGGCCCTGCAAGGCAGCCCCCTCCCCCACTGGCACAAGGGCTGACTTTTCATTGAGTCCCTTCCATGGAAATTGTGTGTGTGTGGTTTTTTTTTAAAGTCCTAGCAATGAAGATAACACTCACATACCACCACCACCACCCACACACACACACAAAGGCGAGATTTCCAGCCCTCAGGAGAAGTGGCAATTCCAGTAGCAGATTCTCCTAGTTTGGGGTTGGCTGGTCAGTGAAGGGCTGTCCATGCAGAGAGCTCCTTTCCATTCTTGAAAGGAGTGGCACAGTGGTCACAATGCAGTATTGCAGGTACTTTGCTCACAGCCAGAAGTTCGATCTTGAGTGACTCAAGGTTGACTCAGTCTTCCATCCTTCCAAGGTCAATAAAATAAGGATTCATATCCTTTCCATTCTTGAAAGCTGGGGTGGCACAGTGGTCAGAATGCAGTATTGCAGGTAAATTCTGCTCACAGCCAGGAGTTCAATCCTGAACAGTTCAATATTGACTCAGCCATCCATCCTGAGGTTGGTAAAATGAGGACCCAGATTGTTAGGGGCAATATGCTGACTCTGTAAACTATTTAGAGAGGGCAGTAAAGCACTGAAGCGGTATAGAAATACTATTGCTATAATGGGTTTTCTATTGGCATATGTCCTGAGTTTCCAAAAACTGGATCCACCCAGGGACTGCAGAGGAAAAATCCTGACAAACTCTCCATGCATCCTTATGGAGAAACAATTGGGCAATGGCTTAGATAGAAAGTTATTGACTGTTCCATTCTAAGCCCCCTCCTGCCTCTTGAAGTCATGTGACCCAGAGTAGAATTATCAGCATGATTTCCTTTCTTGTTTTCTTTATATTTTGTCTGTTATATTGTGAGCCTATAAAACAATCCACATTATTTTCAATCCAATACAGGTAGTTCTCAGCATACGATCACAACGTTAATTGGAAAATTCATTGTTAAGCAACGTAGTCATTAAGTGAGCTAATTTTGCCAGATTTTTTGGCTGTAGTTATTAAACGAGATATCATGTGATCATGATTTTCAACCTTTCCTGCCAGCTTCTCCCTTGATTTTCTGGACCAGATTTCCTGTTAAATTTTATTTGCGTATGGATTCTTACTGTTTGATGAATACTTCCACCACCACCCCTTTTAATATTATAAGAACACCAAAAGGATATTTATCTAGATCATGCTTACTCTTCTTGAATTCTGTGATAGGATTAATTGGCCTGCCATGGGTTGTGGGTTGGACTAGAATGGGTATCAGCAACTGGCAGCTCTGGAGCTGCATGCGGCTCTTTGGACCCTTTGCTGTGACTCCCTGTTCACTGATCTCACCACTGTCTGGCCCCGCCCCGCCCCTCACCTTCCCCTCCCAGTCACTCCTTGCCAGGCCTGAGAAGGTAAAACACAAAAAACAGAAATGAGAGAGAGAGAGGAAGGGAGGGAGAGAGAGAAACCCATTTGCCATAGAAAACACAGGGAGACACAAAACCTGGGTAGGCGTGGCGAGGGGGTGTCATTTGACTGGGTGGGAGTGACATTGAGTTGGCCAGCCCACCCAAGTTCTGTGGCTCCTGGTGTTTTCTGTGGGAAACTGGTCCAAATGGCTCTTTTGGTGTTTAAGGTTGCAGATCCCTGGACTAGAAGATCTCCAAAATCCCCTTCAATTGCAATAGCACTTCCTAGACTTATATTCCGCTTCACAGTATTTTACAGCCCTCTCTAAGCAGTTCATAGAGTCAGCATTTTGCCTCCAACAAACTGGGCCCTCAATTTACCAACTTCAGAAGGATGGAAGGCTGAGTCAACCTTGAGCCGGTCAGGATCGAACTGCTGGCAGTCGGCAGTCAGTAGAATTAGTCTGCAATACTATGTTCCAACCACTGCGCCACCACGGCTCTGATTCTGATTCTAGTATGATTGTCCCAAAACAGAATTGTGATTGAGCTATATAAGTAGAAGCATGCAGGCCTGCCACCCCAAAATGTAAGATCTTAGTCTTTTTGGTCTATTAAGTCTACCCAGTACTACATTTTGTACCTACTGAGCTCAACAGGATGCTTTCAGGAAGACCATTATCAACCCACAAATGCAGTTGAGACTTCTGTTCATGTTCCCAAGCAACCGGCTCTCAGTAATAAGAACAGAGAAGGATATTTCCTCTCTGGAGGTGGTGACATACAGCCATCATATCTAGTAGCCATTTAGAGCATTAAACGTCGAGGAATTTGTTCAATTGCTTATTAAGTTACCCAAGTTGGTACCTATCATGAAATCCTGAGCAAATGAACTCCACAGTTTATTTACGTGGGTATGAAGAAATAAATACATTTTATCCAAGAGAGCCTCCTTCATACTACACAATGAGGTAGGGGTTTCATTTCTCCCACATTTACTGAGATGCAATCTTTGCCAAATAGGCCTTCCAAGAAATTATGCTTGGTCTTCTGGATTAATTTTTTCCCCCATATAGAACAATGTTTCTCAACCTTGGTGACTGCTGGCTGGGGGATTCTGGGAGTTGAAGTCCACAGGTCTTAAAGTCGCCAACGTTGAGAAACACTGCTATAGAGAATAGAGGATGACACAAAAGGGTAGACCATCTTGGCTTGATCCTAAGCAAGAGGAAAATGTCAAGTATAATTTCCCCTAGCGACTTGCAGTGCCTTTAACATTCTCGGGGTAGTCCTTGGCTTACAACCCAATTGGGACCAGAATTTCCATTCCTAAACAGGTAGTTTCTAAGTAAGTCATGCCTGTTTCGATTGCTCTAATCCTCTTCCTTCTCTCCAGTATAACGATCAGATTTTTTTGAAGCTGCTTTGGGATGAAGTTGGAATAAGGAAAAAAAAAGTACTACTTACTGCAGTGGAGAATATTTATAGCTCAGGGTTGAACTGCTGGCTTCTAGGTAATTTCTGAGCTTACTCTTCTTGCAGACATTTTATTACCAGTCTAGGTAACATCATCAGTGCAGTGGGAATGGAGAGCACTGGTGGTTCATCCTATCAGCCTTGAATGGGCATTGTACCTTCTTTCATCATTCTTTGTCTGATGCTGGTTTTTACTTAACTGGCTAATAATAATGGGATGAGGAAGGGTGCGTTCAGATCTATTTACCTCTTTTCTTCATCTTAATTGCCTCCTTTCTTGAGATGTAAGCAGTAGATGGAGCTTCTCACATTGTGTTTATGGAAGGCTGATTCTAATAGAAGAGAATATTTCTAGCTCAGGGATATACTGTGAGCCCTTGGTGCTCTCTGAGCTTAGATGTTTTCTTGCAGACATTTTATTACCTAACTAAATAACATCATCAATGCTAAAAAGGACTGGGCTTTGCTCTCTGTTTATATGCACATGGCTTGCCCTGGAAGTGCTGATGGGATTATTCTTGTTAGTTCCTTGATTAAGCTGTGGTTTATTGACTTGGTAGTTCCTTGACTGGGGTATCATTTCCTATTTGATGCTAATCTCTGCTTATCTGGATATAGATCGCTAGTCAGGAGGTGTTGTGATCTTTTAGCTTTTGGGTTAAATTCATTTGGCTGATTCATCTGAGTGACAAACAATGAAATAAAGAACTATATTCCACCCCAAAAGCA